CGAAATAAGATTCGATTTGCTTACACGAAAATGCATCTTTCCATACGATTATGTTACCGACTACATGAAACTGAACGAGACGACGTTACCGACATGTGACCAATTTTATAATCAACTGAGCGACTGTGCCGTTTCACAGTAGGATTATGACCATGCGATAAAAGTTTGGCGCAGCTTTAACATAAAAACACTTGGCGAATACAGCGATTTATATCTAAAAACAGACGTTTTATTATTAGCCGACATTTTCGAAAACTTTCGTAGCAGCTATTTGAGAAGTTACTACAGTATAGACTCGTTATAAGCAAAACGCTCGGGACCGGACTTTTGCTTATAACGTGTAGTTCCACCATTGTTTGATATTTGTCGACTGCTTCGAACGTAGAAAAGGACAGCGAGTGAAAAAGAGGACGGAGCGAAAACAAACCGTTCTATGTCAGTGAGGCAACACTAATGCAACAACGTAAGTTTGTTATTTATCATTTTTTTTCTATAAAACTTTTTTCATGATATTTCTGACATTTTTGTAATTAAAATGATACCAAACACGATATAATTCGGACCATATTTACCGTGTAAACTAGTTACAACCAAACGCACGGAACTGTCTTTCGAAATCCTCGCACATTGTGTTTTGCATCGGACCGAACAAATATACACGGTAAGTATGGTCCGAATTATATCGTGTTTGGTATCATTTTAAATAGAAAAATGTCAGAAATATCATGGAAAAAGTTTTATAAAAAAAAAATGAAAAATAGCAAAGTTAGGTTGTTGCATTAGTGTTGCCTCACCGATATCTGATCCAAGATCATGTTACGCTACTCGGCGAGCGAGCTTCGCGACGTCTCGAGGGGCATACCCCCCAGTGCACAGTGGTCCAGGAACCCGGTTTTCGTGGCCAAAATTAAAAACGTCTCTAAATCGACTTTTGACCAAATATAATCAATATAAATATACTAAATATAATTAATAGAACTAAAATACAACTAAACAAATGCAAAAATATAATTTTTAACAAATTTTTTTATTGTAATTCGGTGTTATCTAAATATCTAAATGTACGTAATATTGATTCGTCCTGTTCTTGATCTGAATCGTCTTCGCTAGTTATGTCTCGGGATAGATTAGATCTGGTTGTCGATGGTTCAATGTCTGGAGGTTGTAACATGTCTAAAACCTCGGAAGGCAGTTTAAGTCTGCTTGTGGCGTTTGTTTCTAAGACTTATTTCGGAGATAAAAGGGTCAGATGTCTCCATGGCTCTGTCAAAGTTCACAAAATATGGAATAAGTTAATTTGAAAAAGAAAATAGAAATTAATTGCAGTAGTTGAAATTACAATAATATTACGTTAGAATATCTAGAGTGTTCATTTATTGAAATTCGTATAACTTTAAAAGTTGAGGAAGGTTGAACCTAAAATTTATAGAATTCTTTAATGAAATGTTTAAGCTTTCTTATAAAACAAATCTGGTAGCTAGCACTTTTAAGCATTTTTTTAAAACCATCCGCAAAGTTTCAATTGTTGAAAACATTGCACTATTTATACATAAGTTAAAGAACACTTCCGACGCAATTGAATAATCAAAATAGAAGTACTAATATGCATAAAGTTGTTCTCAAAAACTATTATTTGATGATCTATAATGAATACTTACAAAAATTAGTTTCACTTCGAATTTCGGAATTTTGACTTCAGCATGTTGTACACGGTTACACAATCGTCCAAAATGATAATGATTTTGGATTTCCTAGTTTTGAAGTGTTCTTAGTTAGTAGGAAAAAAAATTTTTTGAAAATATTAAAGTTGAAAAATTGAATTTTGGCCACGAAAAACCGGTTTCTGGACCACTGTGCAGTGGTGGGGATGGTTTCTTTGCAAATATCGTACAGATCTTTTTAGCTTATAACGAGTCTATACTGTAATTGGATATTGAGAAGTTACATATTACTATACTTTGCCCACTTTTACGTGGGTTGCAATGCTGAAGCACATGCGCATCGAATTAGAATTATTGACAGATATAGATATGCAAAGGCCAATAATAAATACACGGATTCGTACAATTCCAAAGAACCATCACGATATTTAGTTTATTTCGACGTTAATAATTTGTATGGATGGGCAAGGAGGAGTTCACTGGCCCGATCATGAAAACAAATGTTCTACCGAACGTGTTTCCTCGTTTCCCAGTGACAATTATCTGCTTTCAGCGTAGCAGGTTAATTTAGAAACGAACGGGTAAGTTTCATTTAAATTGTTTTCAAATTTTTTATCATTAACCTAGCCTCCAATTCAAACGTTTATTAGTTATTCTACTTCAAACATTTTTATTTGTTGTTTAGAATCCTCAGGATTTCCTTTTTTACAGAATGACAGGCGACAAGAGATTAGGTTCCGTATTCATTCTAAACAACTAAAAATGTTCAATCACTTCAATTTTTTTATTGTGCTCTGCCAATGGGGCGCCAAGCCGTTCGTTCGCGACCTACGTATGTATGTATTTTAGTTTTCTTGGGCTCTGCCCAAGATGGCGCTTCAGGGGGCAAGCGCCCCCTATATTGCCTAGCTACATAAAGGCGCTAAATATAACTTATGTGACCTATATTAGAAATTACAAACTCATGCCATACGCATTTGCTTACTCGCAGCACATTTCCTCCTCTCATATCTTTGTATAATTACACACACACAAACCATGACGTTACTGTCCCTCCTATGCGTTGCTCCACTTTATTTCATAAACTTCCTTTAAATAACTTTCCTCATCTTGTCTAGGAACCTGGAGATGCGTTTAAGGACCCCCAAGTCTCCTCCCATTAGCATTTTCTGAACATCCGGCCCTTCATTAAAGCCCTTTGCAGTTAAGAACATATTAAGCTCTACTCTACTTTCTATAAATCTATCACATTCCCACACTACGTGTTCAATGGACTCTAGTTCCGCACCACAAATACAACCTTTCTCTTCTGACAAGTTCTTCCTAAATAGCGATTCCCCCAAATTGAAATGGTTCACTCTGATTCTGCTCAGTCTCACTAGATCCCCCCTATTCATCCCTTTTATACTATCGAACCATGGCTTCTTTGCCCCAGCATTATTATCCTCCATTGAAAAATATTTTGCCCCTTTCACTTCACCCTTTCTTCTAGCCCTCTCGTGATTTCTAACCCACGCTCCCTCCATAATATATCCCAACACATCCCTTTCCACTAACCCATATTCGAACACCTCCTCCCCATTTATCGCCTCCCCCGCTTTCATATCTGCCCTTTCATTGCCCTCAATGCCCACGTGGCTGGGAATCCATGCGAATCCCAGTCTGTTACCTAGGAGTCCAGTCCCATGACCGACCCCTTCATCCATCTTATATTCTTCTTCCAAAATCATTATTTCACCTATGATTTCTTGAATCCAGGGATTACCCCCCATCCTTCTAGCGAAACCCTCTAACTTTTTAAGGGCACTCGCCGAATCAGTTAAGATGAGTACTCTTTCCCGCCCCCAATTTGCCCTGGCCTTCTTAACCGCCTGTAATATCGCAAAAGTCTCCGCCGAGAAAACCGACGTGACTTTGTTTAAGGACTACAATTCCTCAAACCATTCACCCGAAACTTCCTTAATCGCCAATCCCGCGCCCACCACCTCTGTCAAACCCCTTTTAGACCCATCTGTGTAAATTTCTACTACCCCCATATTATCAAGATTCGGCCAAATTCTATCTTTGATTTCCTTGATCAGACGCTCGTCTGGGAAATCTTCCTCTTTCCTACGCTTGCCCACTTCCCACTCCACTATTATTCCACCCCCCTCTACAAAATCGCGTCTTTTGTTTGAAACTTCCCTTCCCAAGTTATCATTCACAACTCTTTCTGCTACCCCTTCTGCTTTACGCCATGCCCTCTCCCACGGATCCCAATTCTCCGACAGCTCTCCCTCTCTCACCACTAGGGTTCTCATCAACGCCTCATATACCACCCTCCTACCCTTGATTTTATGTTTCATCACAAACCTTTCTAAGAAAGCCTCCGCCCTGGACTCCAGATCCATTATCCCCGCTTCCGTGTTCATTACGTTTATGGGGGTAGTTATTCTATACCCCATAGCCGTACGAACACCCGCATTATGTAGCCTCATAATTTTGTTCATTGCCCTTTCGTTCTCCCAGAAGAAAAGGAACAGGCCGTATTCTATCACTGATCTAATCAGCCCTTTAAAGAAAATCAACATTGTGCTCGGCTTGACACCCTTCTTGATACCCGCAATAAACCTCAAAATATCTAACTTTTTCTTAACTTTATTCGATACCATCTCTATGTGTTTACTGAAACTGAGGGACCTGTCCAGGATTATTCCAAGAAACTGTGCCTGAGCTTCCCCCTCCAATAATTCTCCGCCTATTCTAAATTCACCATAACCCTTATTTCTATCTCTTGCTTTTGAGAAAACAACAATCTTGGATTTACCCTCTGCCAGTCCTAACCCCAGCTCCTTAAGATTTTCTAACAACGCCTCCACCGCGCCTTCTAGTTTTACCCTTAGTTCATTTATGTCTTCACCCGAGACATATACAACAATATCGTCCGCGTAAAGCAGGACCCTCACCCCCCACCGCTCAAGCCCTTTGCAAATTCCCGCTGTGTATATTGTACAGTAGGGGGCTCAAGACCGAGCCCTGTGGGAGCCCTCTCTTGATTAAACCATTAACCCCTTCTAAAAATTTTCAGACACATGTCGCAGATCTATCCTTCAGCCAGTTTACAATAAAGCCCACCACCCTTTCCGGGCAGTTCCTTTCCTTTAAGAGTGCCTTTAATTTGCTATGGTTAACTAGGTCATATGCCGATTTTACATCCATAAAACCTGCCACGGTTTCTTTTCTAGCTTTAAAACCTGCCTTAATGTCCGTGACCAAGGCCACCAGATTATCCATTGTAGATCGCCCTTTCATAAAACCACTCTGTCGATAATCTACTATCCCCTCTTTGTCTGCCCATTCGTACAGCCTTTCCTTCACTAACCTTTCAAGAATTTTCCCCATACAATTAATCAAGGAGATAGGTCTCAGGGCCTTTTTCCCGGGTTTTTCCAAAAACTTTATCACCACTTGTTTCCACCGTTGTGGTATACAACTGTTCTCCCAGATCCAGTTATATAATTTCAGTAAGCACTTCTTCATTCCGCTATCTAATTTTTTTAAAAAGAGGTACGAAATTCCGTCTTCTCCTGGGGCCGAGGAAATCCGGACTGAGTCCAAGATCTCCTGCAAGTCCCTCTCTTCGAAACAATCCTGTATACTAGCTTGCCCAGTACTAACATAATCCCCTCCCAAAAATTGACCAGAGGTTTCTAATTCCCCCTGACCTTCTTCTCCCGGAACCACCTCTAAATCATAAGAAAAAACTTTTTCCATTTCTAGCTCCTCCAACGAATTTATTTCATTTTCCTTAAGACTGTTGCACCCGGTTTTCCCAATACCATTCTTAATTTGTTTAATCTTTTGCCAGGCCTCCCTGGAACTGGTATAACAATCGATTGATGATGCGAAATCGTCCCAAGCTTTAGACTTCTTTTCCTCTATTAATTTTTTCATTCGCTTTCCCACCTCCCTCAAATTAATCCAATTAGCCTGATTCGGCGTCCTAATAAAGAGTTTAACTGCATTTCTTCTGTCCCTTTTAGCTTCATTACAATCTTTATCCTACCACGTCTGTCCCCTAACATTATTTTTTTTAGGTTTAGCTTTCTTTCTTACATCATTGATATTCAGCCCCTTGTCTGTTACAGTACCGCCCGCTTTCCTGATAATATTAACTATTGCCTCCGTAAAATCCCTGCATCTATCCTCAATGCTAAAATTCTCCCACCCCTCTACGTTCCAATTTTCCATTAGGCTAGTCGCTTCCTCACTTGATGCTGTTACAAACAAGTCCCAATTTATTTTATCATCCCTGAACTTTCTAGTCAACCCTACCACTTCCTTGGTTCTATTTACCTCCTCATCTCCGAAAACTAAACCTAACACTTGGTGGTCTGAGCCCATGGTCTCATTTTCTTCCACCACCGTTGCAATATCCATCGCATAATGAGATCCAATAAATAGGTCAATGTTCGATGGTGGCCTACCACCAGTTCCTAGCCTTGAATTAGTATTTGTGTTAATAACGAACATGTCGTAGTCCCTAACCACCTCCTCCAACAGGGAGCCCTCTCTACTATCAACGTAACAGTTCCATACTTTGTTTCTAGCGTTAAAATCGCCCATTAGAATTGTTTCAACATTCTGTCTTTTGTTTTTAAATAGTTTGACCCAATCTTCTCTTTCCCATTTCTCTCCTGGTCTTCTGTAGACTAAGAGGATATCCCACACGCCCTTCTTAGTTTCCACCGAAATCCCCAAGACTTCCCTTCCTGCCCCCTTCCAGGTTAAATCCTCTCTTACAGCAAACTTTACACGCTCCTCCACTATAAACGCCAAACCCCCACCCTGTCTATCCTCTTTCAAATCACCGCTAACAATATTATACTCCGGAATAACGAATCTATCTTTCTTTTTAAGCTATGTTTCGGTTATCCCTAAGATGTCAAAATTTTTAATATTCTCCTTAATTTCGCTTAATTTCCCTCTAACGCTCCTGCCATTCCAGGTTCCCAGACAAAACTTACCCTTGAAAATTGAAGTAGCCATTTGGCTCGATTATAACCCCTCTTTTCCTTTTCTAGAAACTACCCTTCCAAGTTTCGCCCTTCTTCTTTCGCACTTTATCCAACACACCCTCCAAGCTTTGCAACAGGGGGGGCAGTAACAAGTCAGACACCTACAAGAAAGTATAATTTTAATATTAAAGTCACTCCAAAAGATATAACAAATCCTACTTTTAATGTGAGATCCCTCCTCAACAGACCTCCGCCCCCCATAGGGGCCATATACATACATGACCATTAAGCCAATTGGACTATACAAAGTGACAGTACCTTTCCAACTCATCTCTATGCAATCTATCAGAGATTCTTTCCAAGGTAAGCACTCGCTCCCGTACAACCTGCTTTTTAGAAAAAACCCAATCCAAACTGAAACTCCATCCACTCTTAACCTTCTTTTACATATGAACGCAAAAAAATTCAAAACACATACCCACTCTTCGTAACAGAAAATAAAACTAGAATCGAGTATGTTCGAAAAACGCAAGTCGCAGTAGCAGACAAAAACATTTCTTTTCCAAGAAATTGCTAATGAAACCAAAGATAAACAAGTTGATAATAATAAAACTAAACATATCAATAGACCTAAACCACGAATGGCTCTTACAAGACCCCTTAAAGCACACACACAAACCAAACATAACCACACTTTATTGTCCATAACGCTATTCATCGTTAAAGTCCTCTCTATTCCCACACATTCTTCCCTCAATCCTTTTCATGAGCTCCTCGAGTCTTCCTCTTCTATATTCGTCTTCCTGATTTGCCCTTTCTGTCGTCCACCCGTATTGCTGGTGGGCCCGTACAGCTATGTCTTCTAGTTCTTGTTCCTGAGCCTCCTTTGCCGCCTTCTGGGCCTCATATCTCTCCTTCCTCCTTCTCAGCTTTTCCTTAGTCTTCTCCGGGATGGGAACGTCCCAGTTGGGCCTGTGCCTAGTAGTGTTCCAGTATGCATATTCTTCCTCCTCCGTCCTTTGTTCTTTTTTCTTGTTGTCATTCAACATTCTTTCCACCTCCTGCTCATAACCCTATTCCCTTATCAATTTCATCAGGTCCGCCATAAATTCTTCATCCCTCTTCTTCTCCAGCTGCCCAATTAGCCTTTTTTGGGCACGCTGTTCCACCATGCTAATCCTTTTGATAGCACGTTCTATTGGTAGCCCATCTCCAAATACATATTCAGCTTCCTCCGGGGCAGTCCCATCTTCCTCTTGTTGTAGAGACTCGAACACATTTGAGACACTAACCGTTAAACCTTGAGCACGGGGTAGCCTATTCTCTGCGGCATAGTCTTCTTGCCTCAGCCTGCCCCTGCCTCTACTTTTACCCCCTCCCTGGCTCCTCCTCGTATTCTCAGGGACATTTTCCCATCTTCTAGCACCCATCCTGCCCCCCTCCGATTTCTTTTTGGCTTCCCTCAACAGTTCCAATTCATCCTCCATTGGTACCTCTTTTGCCTCCCAACACTCAATTCTTCTCGTCGGCAAAGTAGGAAAGTCTCTGCTGCCTCCATCTCTTCCGACCACCTCTTCGTCCCAGTTTTCTCCTAATTGATTCGCAACTATGCCCTTGGCTGTTGCGTACGCCACATTTTTAAAGGCCATGACTTTTCTGATTAATTTTTCTCTTTGGTGCACCCAACATGTTTTAGATAGGGACGTATGATTTCCCCCACAGTTCAAGCACACCGGTGACTTGTCGCAATTCCTGTGTTCCCTTTCCAAGCACACTAGACACTTTTTCAGACTCCGACATTGCATTTGTAGGTGCCCATACGAAAAGCACTTGAAACACTGCTTAACCTGCTCCACGTACGGGTAGATGCGAAGGGCTACGTGGCCCGCCCCAATCTTCAGTTCAGTTGGCAAGCGGTCCCCCTTAACGGTTACTAGAATCGCCACCCCCTCAGTCCAGACACTTTTCCCGTCCTTAAACGCTTTTTTCCTCATTCTTTCAAACTTGAACTCTCCTTGCCCCGGCATTACAAATCTTTGAGATCTTCAACCGAATCCTCCCATTCCGTAATCACACCCTTCCTCATCTTCTTCCGATCCGGAAGGAAGGCCTCAAATCCTGCGCCATCTTGATCCGCCATTTTCAGGATGGCGTTTGCTGCCGCCATGTCACTAAAAGTAAGTTCAGCTTTGTTAAAACCCACCATTTTGAGTCCCCGCAGAAAACGTGACCTCGATCCAAGCATTCTATACATCTTAACTATGTTGTTTCTTTTGAATTTACTCGTGTTCTCCTTCCCAAGTACCATTGTAACCATATATTCTCTGCTCTTCAACTCTTCTAGGTAAAACTGTTTGTTCTCACCTCGTGTTCTTCTACTGTTTATTCTGTCCCCTAAGGATATTGTATCCTTTCCTACTGCGCCTTCAATATTCTCACCCGCAGTCGTACACTCTGATGGCGCCGCGCCTTGTTGGACAGGTGTGGCCCTTTTTTTTCCACCTATGGGGGATGTATTAGCTACGGGAAAACCTTCGACTTCTTTTCTATCTCTTTTACTACCTTCTTCACTTTTATCCGTTTCTTCCTCTGCTGTCCTCTTCCTAACTTTTCTGTTTTCTCCAGACCCAATCCTTACATCCGCAACACTCTTCCAAGAATGAGACGCAGTCTCCTTCTTCTTGTTCCCCTTCTTTTCAGCAGCGATACCAAGCTCTTCCTGATTCATCGCCTCACCCCTAGGGGAAACTACAAATTCCCTATTCTCTTCTTTGTTTTCTTCCACGGCCTTGTTGGAACTTCCAGCAATTTCTTCACTACAGTTGGTATCCTCTAACGGCTTTCTATTTCTGTTCAGAATTTCAAAAAATTCCCTAGCCTCGGCATCCTCCTCTAGATATTCGGCCTCGAATTCAACCATACTTAGGTTGAGTTCTTCCGTTTTCTCCTTTAATTTTACAGTTTTCTCACCTTCGCTCTTGCTTCTTTTCTTCTTTTCACCACTTTCCTTCCTTATTTTCCTTACATTCCTTAAAACAACCTCTCCTCCCTGCGACAATGCCTTGTCGCAGGGAGGGGCCACACCCTCTTTATTCACTATTTTCTCCTGGGCTCGCTTTCCCGGGAATAAGCGACCCCAAGAGAGACACTTTTGTACAAAGAAAACCCCCTAAAAAGACACTGATGAAAACTCAAGTTCCCAGAAAAACCACTTCCTTAAAAACTTCCTAATCAAGAGTACCACTTCTCCGTACGTCCGTTGTCTACGGTTGCCACCGTGAGACCCTCGTTCGCGACCTACGTGAAGTCCCGCTTTCGTAGCCGACGCTGCCGTCCCTGAACTTGCGCGCTATACGCGCTCGGATTGGTCAGTGTTTTTACTTGGCGATGCGAGCATCGAAAACTTTACCGACAGTCCCTAGAAAAATCCCTAGATGCGAGTTTTCGGTTTTCGTCGTCATTTCTAAACAGAATGCAAAAAAATTTGAGGGACGTGTCCAGAAGGCCCTAAAGAATGGCGCTCTGGTCCTTATTTTACCCAAATCGTCAAAAAGTTATAAAATATTGAAATTTGTGTCTGTCCACAGTCAAGAAAATGGCGGATCGGACTCACCTGCATTAATTTATTTGTAATATAAACATTTTTGCGAAACGAATGTCCAAATAGAGACCAGAGCGCCACTCTTTGGGTCGGATAGAGCAACACGAGCACCCAGGGGATGGTGTACAAGCTTTCGTTTAGACAAAAAGTGAAAACTACGATTTCGTTGACTTTTCACTTGCGAAAGACGTCAAAAAGGTAAAACAGACCACAAATTTAGTTCCTCGTTTTTTCTGTAGGGCGCAGTTTGTTCGTTTTCTGTGCTTGACCACGCGCTCATTCGCAGTTCGTATATGTGAATATATGTGCGTCGACCGAACCGTCGACGACGATACAATGTATCGTGGAGAATGGGAAGTTCGAGTCTTGAAATTCGACACTGTAGCCTACACGGCTACCGGGGTCCGGGCTGAACGAAACAGTGAATACCACTAGTGTATGATTTTAAAAAAGTATATATTTCACTGACTATTGATACAGAGCCACAACTCGTCTTATTACTAAGGAAAGGCGTATGCGGGTAAAGACTCTACCGTGTCAAAATACTCTGTACCGCGTGGAGCAAGGATTTGCCTCGTGGTCCGGGTTTGCCCATTCAAGGGAACAAGATCGGAGCCAGGCAAGGGTTCTGTCCTTGGGATGTCCACTCAAGGGAGCGTCTTAGGAGCAGAGACCCGTCTTGTCCATAAAACGATAGGTCCGTGGCCCTTTTTATCTTCGCGGGAGGTCTTGGGCCAGTTGCGAGTGGTAGGGTAGGAGGGTCTTTCGCGCAAGCGCACTGGGGTCGTCAAAGTAGCGGGGCTGCACGCACGTAAGGTGGTGAGAGCGCCCTTATGTAGTGCGCTACAATGCGTAAATTTTTTTTTCACGCATCGTTCTATCGACTATGATAGTGATTTTCAACCCATGTGTCACAAGACGTACTATGATTGTTTTTTGTTGCTATTATTATTCTTTTTTTTAGTAAAACTGAAGAACAAATACGTCCTTCCCGATTTCGATGATTTTTTGATATGTTATAAAAGTTGATAGGATAAGTTTCTGAATGGCCCCGTTAGAATTGAGAACTCGGGTTTGGCATATAACCTAAATTGACTACCAGAAACCGATTAAAATTGGTTTCAGAACTGAATGTCTTACCGTTTTTGAAATATCGTAGTAAGAAGTTTTGTAAAATTCCGGGACTACATATGCGCTATTCGATACTGACCATGCGCAATTCATTAGTGCGCATGTGCTATTCGATACTGAACATATGCTATTCGATACTGCGCATACACGGAACCTAACCTAACCTCATTGTTTTGTGAGCCTCGTGGGGTTCATAACCCGCTTTACCGTTCCCAAGTTTACACTTACATATACCAGCGCTATTAAAGGGCGCATTGCGCTATTAAATCCACTCTCCAGCAGCCACCACCCTTCAAGTGTCACCGGAAATGGAAAAACTATCAACTCATGGATACCAATCATTGTATTCAGGTACGGAAGATCCAACGGTAAAAGTTCCGAAGCCGTACCCAGATTATAGTATAACATTAACATGCCAACACGTCACTATTCCATCATATTGTCGAACAAATGGGCGGGGGAGGGGCGGAGCCTGCACCCCCGCCCCATAAAAAGTAGCATAACCTAACCTATTCACTATTCTTATAATGTAGGTACGACTTCGGAACTTGTTCCGCTTTTTCGGACAAAACCGCCGAATTGGGAGAAGCCCCACACGTTGGCACCAATGTATCAAAGTTTCTCGATCTGGAATTATCTCGCGAAAAATACGAGACATATTCCACTGACCATTCAATGGATTGTCGTTCATTTTGTAACCTATGTTAATAAATCTACAATCAATCTACAATCTATATAGATAAACCTGTATTAATTTTTAACCTACCTATATTAATAAACGTAAAAGCTATATTAATAAACCTACAATGGAGTTATAAAAAAAATTTAAGAAATTACGGAAAGATAATTGAAGCTTTGAAATTCACTTCAAAGTTTGAAGTGTAATGATCAGAAAATGCGCGAGAATCGTCTATATGGTTTTATTAGCCACAATACGCATGCGCCTGACGTTCCCCGAATGCGCAGTAGTGAATCGCGCATGGTCAGTATCGAATAGCGCATACTTAGCCCCAGAATTTTACAAAACTTCTTACCACGATATCTCAAAAACGGTAAGACATCCAGCTCTGAAACCAATTTTAATCGGTTTCTGGTAGTCAATTTAGGTTATATGCCGAACCCGAGTTCTCAATTCTAACGGGGCCATTCGGAAACACACCCAATTGATATTCTGAACAATTTGGTGAAATACTGATTACTTATGAAAAGCACCCCGAAAATAAATCTGTTGCCAGAGTTATTAAAATTTTTTCAGACAGATAAGTTAGTATGTTTTTTCAGCATAGAATGTGATATGCTGGACTCTCCTGATTTTGCGTTACGCCCAAATATTGGATGAATAGGTAACGAAAATGTGATGCTGGAAGAACAACACGGCTGGAGCGAGTTCTTCAATGTTGGGGAACGTAGAAAAAGACAAATAGCGAAAGAGAAAGAGGTCCGAAAATTAAAGGACCTGAGAAAAAACATTTGAGTGAAACAATATTAATTCAACAATAACTTTTTTATTTTTCATTTTTCTAAATGAAACTTTTACCAATGTAATTGTAAGATTCTTCTGATTAAAATAAGACCAAACACCATATAATTTGCATTATTTTTACTTACTTAGATATAAATAAGTAAATAAATAATTATAATTCAAATTATGTCATGTTTGATCTTGTTTTAATCAGAAAAATCTCATAAATACGTTAGTAACATTGTCATTAAAAAAAATTCAAAAATAAAAAGGTTTTAATCTTAAATTTTGATTATGCTAGTATTGTCTCACACGTACACGGGTATTTAAACTTGCTTTTTTCCCTGTACGCTGCTTCGATTTTCGGCTGTCACCACATCAAAGGCAAGCCGAACTCGCTCGAGAAACTGTGGTTTCTCGACGACACGCAAAAATTGGTCTGATTCATCGTACATGATACATATAGGTATCGTAGCATCCGTGTGTCATTTAGGTGTATGCGAAGAGTGACGTAGAATAGCATGCCGTTAGTTGGATGTGTTACGTTGCGCGTTGCGAGTGCGAAGAAAAGAAAAATAATTATAATAATTAGTTAACTATTTAATTAAGATGGAAAGTATTGAACTTGATTCCTCTTATTTTTGGGCGATGAGAAAGGTATCGCTGTCACCAGTTCTGACCGCATATGACGCGGAAGCGTCCTCTACGGTCAGAACAAAATTAAAAGACGGAAATTTTAGATAGTGATTATTTCCGTTGGGTTCGTCAGTGTTCTGGGTCCCATACGGGTCCCTCCTTGAAACCTTGTGTTGGGGTGCGTGGATTTGAAATATAGAATGATAAAGGAAATGATACAAAATGGAATTTGAAAGAAATGTTAATTCAATTTAGTGCGCAAAGAGAAAGTAATTTTAATCCAAAATAACTATTGAAGCTAACAGAAACTGAATTTGAAATGACTATTGTTGAGTATTGAAATGATTCTATTTGAATGAATGACTATTAAATGAATTCGATTAAAACAATACTGGTTTTACAAGGGTAAAGATGCTTAACCTATTGTTTGATATAAACATAAATGAGATCGGAAAAACATGTTAGCCTTTGGTTTACAATGAGACCTTTCAATATAATATCAACCGGATTTGAAATGTGAATATATATATATATTTAATGAGGGGCGACTACCTCGACCAAATATAATAGAAATTTGAGGGTTTTGGCGGTATCTATCCGCGAGGTAACGACCTGAACGAAGAGACTCTTACAACCCCCGAAAGGGCTTTACAGGTCGCTCCTGGTAAAGTATCGTAGTCGAAGCAATCGTCACACACAAACTCGCGATGATTCAAAATTCGTCATATTAAGATAGCGAAATTACTATGATCGGTACCTGATGGTGGAAACGTGACGATCTAAAATGAAGGGACTCTTACAACCCCCGAAAGGGCTTAATAGATCGCCCGAAACTGAATAATAATGCCGTGCTCGACAAATTAGTACTGAACAGGCTTACCGTGAAACTGTAGAATGTAATGTACGATAAAAATCGCTTTGTAGTTCGCTATTTAATCGTTGAAAATCGCTGTTGAATCTGGAACACCAAGAAAGATGAGAAACTGGTGCTTCACTAACACTTGTCGCGCACCCGGTCGTCGTTTATTGCAAATGAAAAATTAAATAAAACGTATCACAAGACAATTACAATTTTCGGAAATAGTATAATAATAAACGCGAATGAATTTAATACGAAAATACGCGATCAACGGATTAAAAGAAAGAGAAAAGATAGAATATTAATAGTGTGAAATGAATTTAACGTGCGCGTCTCTGAGTCTTTGCCGTGTATTCGGAATTTCATCCTCGCGACACTCTGCCTAATACGTAGGACTTGCCGCGCAGCTAAATTACAACGAATTACAATCGACAACTCTATCTCTAAACGCATGGGCTCCCGTCACGACTTACTCGATTGTTCGACGAAGAGTGATCAGAATCGATCGCGATCCTAGCCGGAAGGGCCCGTCGCGAGGACGATGTCCTGCGTGGGGAAATTTCGGCAAATCACAGCGCGTAACGACGGCGTCGCGTGCGTTTCTATTGGTCGAAAGCGCGTGCCAGCTAAATTCCTCCAGATCATGCTTTCTCTCTTTCTTGGTGTTCTTTCTCTGTCTAACGGCTTTTCGGTGTTTCTACGCCGTAGAATTTCTGGATTGTTCCGTGCTTTCGATAATTTCGTATATTAGCTAACAACGATACGAATATCTATTAACAGTTTAAATCAGTCTTACTAAACAATAAATTTGCAAGTAATTATAATATCTGTTGTACTATTGCGTATGAATAATGGACCGGTGATCACGAGGTTTCTTAATTAACAATTGGCCTTTCCATAATCATTTTGTTCGTAAAGAAATCGATCAACAATACGAATTGCGCCGGTACGCTCGTTGTAAGGCATTCGGTGTTCGATTGCAATTTTTCAATAACGACAGTTTTCCCTTATTAATCGAATATTCGTTATTACATTTGCGACGTAGTTGATTCGAGAACATTCTCGGCATTCGAAAATCACCGTTAGGTTTTCGGTTTCAAGCAAATTCTCGGAATTTGATACAAAGACTTTATTGCCCCGTACGACCCTTTGTCTCTCAACAGCCTTCGAACGCTTGCTAACGTTTGCTTGCAAGGGTTCTCATTCCTCGCTCTCGCATTCATACAAATATTCAACACGCTAGATTATGTACTTCGCGTTCTCATTCCAGCATTCAATTCATACACGCGATCGGATTAGGGACCGACTGGCGCCTACGCGTGAAAAAGAGGAGAGTATCGGTGTTAATTTCAACAATAATGTAATCTTTACGCTTTTGCGCAGTTAGCCTGAGGAGACCCCTACAATGCGAAGCACTGGCTAACCGCGCAGCGAACGCTGTTTACGATACCTCTCCTCGGTCGAAGCCGAGTTTTTCTATCACGAGTTTCTGTTACTACGCAGTTGAGCACGACGATAGTTTCAAGGAGGGGTATTAACTAAGAAAAGAATTGAGAAGTATGAGAAGAATGAAAGGATTGAAAGGACAAAAGTAGAATAATTATAAGCTCAAACTCTTCCCTGTGCATTTCCCACATGAAGAAGACTCTCACAACCCGAAGGCTTGATGGGAAAGCACAGAGTCAAGGAGAAATTAAAGAAAGGTGAAGTAGTAATTCGCCCTCCCCACGCCCCTTACATGAGGAGACTCCTACAACCCGAAGGCTGGATAAGGGAACGTGAGGCGGACAAATTCGTAAAATTTTTCCGGACGTGACAGATGCAATAACTGAGGTAGCGCTGAAATCAGTTTCTGTTCGGCCTAATTTTCGATGAAACATTGACTGTTTTACCGACGCGGAATTCGAAGTTCGGCCTCGACGCTCGTGTTACGACGAGCCGCCTAAACGTACGTTAATCGAATTCTTCCCACGATCGGACAAACATCGTGTTACGGCCACCCGCCTAAACGATCGATATTCGAACAATTGAACTCCTCACGACCGGACACTTAAACATCATATTGCGACCACCTACTTAAGTATTCGATAAGACGCGTTCTCACGGACATCCCACCTTGTCAATCATCGGCCCCTTCTCCACCACCAACGACATTATAAAAGACCTTACCGGACATAAGCGCAGTCAGTCGGGATCATATTATAAAAATAAAGTGCTAAACCTTTAAAAGTGCCATTCATTTAAAAACCTGTGAACTTTCCACGTGACATTTTGGCGATCCTGCCAGGATCCATTCAACATCACGAAGAGAAACTTCCAAAGGGGGCTTTCTACGGAACTCCGGACGAAGGGACTACGAGTGCCACTCTGTCGTGATACGTAGGGATCCAACGAACCTAAGGTAAAAGCTGGCGTTTAAACATTACCGATTAAAACCACCCAGCATTTCTTCTCAAAACTCCGAACTATCCTCCTTATCCTCTGAGTCCTCAATATCTTCAACAATGACTGCCTCCGGACCTGCCGCACAAGAGAACGTGCTACGGCAACTCTTGGACAGGATGCAACGGATGGAAGAAGGAATCAATCAACAATTGACAACTCTAGGAGAAGAAAACCAAAATCGTGCAAAAGAAATCCAAAATATTGCAGAACAGCTGAAACTGGTCACCCTCACTGAAGATGCGTCTACTATTTCGAGGATCACCAGACGAAGCGGCGGAGATCAAGATAATCAACAAGAAGATGAAATGCATACGGCCCGACAACCACCCCAAAATTCAACAATCAGGCCAAACGAACTGATGAAAGCAGTTGACGCCATTCGAACCATCGAGACCTTACGAGGACGAGATGATGTAGGAGTCGAAGATTTTATCAAATCAGTCAGGTATGCCAGGAGTAATTGTTCTGAGAAAACATTATTACTAAAATTAATTCTGATCGAAAAAATTACGGAAAATGCAAAAAGAAGTATTCGATACACGTCAATTGAAACGTATGAAGAACTTTACGAAGTACTCCGTCAAAACGTTTCAATACCTAATACTGTTAGTAGTTGCCGTAATAAGTTACAGCAAATACGGCAAGGAGCAATGGAAACAGTACAGTCTTATAACCTACGATTTAGGCAACAACTCAACGAATTAATTTACGCTGTTCAAAATAAACACCAAAATCCAATTTCAAGAAGAATAGCTATAGAAGAAGAAGAAACAGAAGCTACTCGAACGTATGTGCTCAATCTCCGCAGGGACATAGGCATGCTCGTAATACCAAGTAAACCGAAATTATTAATAGAGGCACAAACAATGGCAGCCGACATGGAACTGTGGACTCGCGACGCGAATCGTGCCATGGAGCGTCGACAAGTACCATCCAGAATTCCTCCGCCTAAACAACAGGGGCAACGCCCAAATACATCAAGTGACCGACCAAACCACTCGATACCTTTGAAATGTACAAAGTGCGGAAGATTAGGACACACCAGTGACAAGTGCTACGCTCGAAATTTTCAAGTGGCCAACCAGGGAAAAATTCCACCACCACGAGTGAACAACCTCAATTTTCAAGAGGACAAAGTGACAGAAACAACATCCGAATCAACTGCACCACCGGAAAATTACTACAAATTTGCTGCAGAGTTCCAGGAATGTCGAGAATCGGAAGACTACTCGTGGACACAGGAGCAGGAATCAACATCCTCAAGCGATCAGTAGCCGAAAGAATAGAGCCGACAGAAACCAAAACATTCTTTATGGGTAACGACAAACATACTACTCACGAGACAACTATAATTCAAATACAACAAATACCTCATACCTTTCACATAGTCCCTGATTCATTTCCTTTAATAGAAGACGGCATAATGGGCCTACCATTCTTAGAAAAATATAAATACGAAATCAATAAAGAATCATTAAAAATTAACGACAAAATTATACCATTTCAGAAAACTACTCTTCACACACTGTCTCCGGGAAAAACAACAAAACGAACACAATATCTAGACGGAAAACCTGTTCAAATATGCTACATCAACACTGGTAAGCAAGACCATCAGATTACAAACGAAATAGAACCAGATGATAAAATCGATCAAATTAACAAATTTGCAAAAATTATTAGAACTAAACATATTGATCCAAGTTTACGAGACCCTTTAGAGAAAATCCTTATCAACTATCTTGACGTTTTTAATTTAGAAACTGACTTACTTCCTTGTACATCCCTTACGGAACACACTATTACGTTAAAATCTGAAAAACCTATTAATATTAGAAGTTATAGACCACCTGAATGCCATAAGCAAGAAATCGAACGACAAATTAATGACATGCTAGTTAAAAAAATCATTGAACCATCAGACTCTCCTTATAACGCGCCGGTTTGGGTAGTTCCGAAGAAATTGGATGCTTCAGGTAAACGTAAATGGAGAATAGTAATCGACTTCCGTAAACTCAATGAATTGACAGACCAAGACGCATACCCATTACCTAATATAGATGAAATTCTGGACCACCTAGGCAAAGCGAAATTTTTTAGCGCGTTAGATCTTTCTTCAGGATTCCATCAAATCCCTATGAATAACAATTCTAAAAAGTATACAGCCTTTTCTACACCACAAGGACATTTCCATTACAATAGAATGCCATTCGGTCTCAAAAATGCTCCAGCAACGTTTCAAAGAATGATGGACACGGCGCTTCGCGGTTTAATAGGAAAACATTGTTTTGTTTACTTAGACGATATTATCATCTTTGGGTCGACGATACAAGAACATAATCAAAATTTAGCAATCGTATTCCAAAGGCTTAGAGATCTTAAACTTAAAATCCAACCCGACAAATGTGAATTTCTCAAACCGGAACTAGAATATTTAGGTCATGTAGTAACTGCGGAAGGAGTTAAACCAAATCCAAAAAAACTAGAAGCAATAAAAGACTTCAAACAACCTAGAGATTCTACAAATATAAAATCTTTTCTTGGATTAGCCGGATACTATAGAAAATTTATCCGTAACTTTTCAAAAATTGCAAAACCATTAACAGACTTAATAAAAAAAGATGTCCCATTCCATTGGACAGACAAACAACAACTCGCTTTTGAAACATTAAAACAAAAACTTTGCGAAGCCCCAGTACTACAATACCCCGATTTTAATAAAACATTTACCCTAACGACAGACGCATCAAATGAAGGATTAGAAGCAATTCTCTCTCAAGATGGTCATCCTTGTTGTTACATCTCCAGAACACTAAATCCTCCTGAAAAGAATTACAGCACAAGCGAGAAAGAGCTACTCGCAATAGTTTGGGCCACCAAAAGACTTAGACAATACCTATTAGGAAGAAAATTCATAATTCAGACTGATCACCAAGCGCTAAAATGGTTAAAGGATGTGAAAGATCCCTCTTCTAGACTCATGAGATGGCGATTGAGACTCGAAGAGTATGATTATGACATAGAATACAAAAAAGGTAAAGAAAATACCGCCGCAGACGCTCTTTCACGGCTGTACCCTATCACCTCACAAGAATCCAACCTTCTTATATCATCTCCAGAAGAAACGGAAGAAGTCCCAACTGAATTTTCCCCAAATCCTGACTATTTTAACGAATATGAAAATTGGAAAATAGACATAACACCTGCACCATTAACACAAAAAATTAATCGACCACACTTCTACCAACTAACAAAGGAAATACTAGGTGACTACGACGAACAAACATGGATAAATAAATTAGCTGAACTAATTAACGACAATAGACATAAAATTACTTTCCCAATAGGAATAGGAGACGAGAAAATAACACCACTAGAAAAGGTTTACATTCAAATGATGATACGATTTCTTAGTACAAAATTTAGAAACATAAAAATTATATTCGGTTCAGAACCTCCGCGGGATTACACCCTGGAAGAAAAAGAAACAATCCTGAAGGAAAATCATAATGAAATAGTAGGACACTTAGGTATTAATCGTACTGTAAAACGAATTCAAGAACAATTTTACTGGCCCAACTTAGAAGCAGACGTTACAGAATTTATAAAAAATTGCGAAACCTGTCAACATGAAAAACTAGTTAGAATTAGGCAAAAGGAAGAAGCTATCATAACCGATACACCTATAGAACCTAATACTAAAATCGCCATGGATATTTTCGGCCCATTAACAAAAACAAAAAGAGGAAATCAATTTATCCTATCAATCCAAGATCAATTAACAAAATACCTGGTCCTCGTTCCCCTCAAAAATCAGCAAGCCACTACAATTATCCCAGAATTATTGGATCATTATGTATACATATTTTCTGCACCTAGACAAATTTTAACTGATCAAGGAACGAATTTTGTTTGTAAGCTTATGGAAACGTTTGAACAGGCATTTAAAATCCAACATGTTAAAACGACCTCCTTCCATCCACAATCTAACGGTTCACTTGAAAGAACACACGCAACGATAAAAGACTTAATTCGTACATGTACAGCCGAAAGACAAAACGATTGGGACGAAAATCTTAAACTTATTTGTATGGGTTATAATACCTCAGTTCACGAATCGACAGGTTATACACCTTTTGAACTAACATTCGGACACAAAGCTAATCTACCCTCAACAATTTCTGCAACTCCTTCGATGACAAAAGAACAGTTATTTAAACTTTGGAAGAGACGACACGACACGTACATTTCTGAGGCAATAAAAACACTCAATAAAAACAAAGCTCGCTATAAACGGGATCAAGACAGAAAAATTATAAAATTACAGACTATATTCAAAATAGGTGATCGAGTTCTTCTACATAACGATCATAAACGAAATAAACTCGATCATGAATGGTTAGGACCTGCAGAAATAATACAGGCCTCTCCTCCAACGTATACTATTCATTTTCCGTCGGAGAATCGACAATTAAAGGTACATGGTAATCGATTAAAACTTTTTATTTCAGGCCGACGACACTTACCCTCTTGTTCTACTTCATTGGAACAATCTACTGTAACCTTTATGTAACATACTGAACCTTTAAATAATTCGACAGTATTTTTAGAACACATCGACAATTGTTACTTATATACTAATCAAGTATCTATATCTATTATTATTAATCCACACTACCTACTAAAACAACCCGATGTTACTGCAGAATCGTTAGAAGGTCTATCAAAACATTGTAATAAATGCGCGTACAAAATAGAAATTCAAAACTTAGTAAAGGAACTCGTAACAATAAAAAAAATGATTGCTCAATTGAAATTAACGTTAAGAATTATTCATAGACGTGGTTTATTAAATATAGTTGGTTCAGTATCCAAATCTCTTTTCGGTACTCTAGATGAAAACGACTTAACGATAATTAACGAAAACATGGACAAACTATTTGACTCGAATAACAAATTAAAAATCATCGTTTCTAATCAATCAGCCCTTATTAAACAAGTATTAGACGATTCTCATATTCAATCTATCCATCAAATTCAAATAAAACTTGACGAACTCCAAGACAATGTACAAAACGAAGAAATAATCAGCTCTTTAATTATACACACAGAATTTGTCCTTTCCGAAATACATGTAAATCTCGATGAACTAATCAACACGATTATACTAGGTAAACAAGGAATAATCAATCCACAGGTTGTAAAGCCACAACAATTTTTGGAAACATTTGATAAAATCATTAAAACCCACTTTCTTTATAATCATATTCAACCAACTCTCGAAAATTTTCAAACCCTACTTGATATTAGTAATTTAAAACTTTGGATCAACGATGGAAAAATTGTATATACAATAACAACTCCTATTTTGGATGATACAGAGTGGAAAGTCACTAAAATTTATCCAATTCCCTCAAAGAGAGACAAGATTTTTGTGGCTCCAGTAATCGAACATGAAATTATATTTACTACGCAAGAACAATATATTCCTACTGACTATAGATATATTCAAAAATTCTGTAAAAGGACGCCTTTAATTCATCTTTGTAAACTTAATCAACCCACGCATAGTAAATTAGGAACACAAGATTGTCAAATTGAGCTAGTTAACAACAAAAACAAAATTAACACGTGCCCATTCTCCGTATTCAAAATTATAGACGCTACATTTATACCTCTTGAACAACCAAATGTTTATATATTAATACCAAATAAACCATTAACACTAGACATTCTCTGTGATAGACATGAAACACGAACTATACAAACCCCTAGTTTAATTAAAAGCGATGAACCTTGTATAATAACCTATGAAAACAATGTAATGAAAATTGGAGGCACCACCCAAGAAGTTACTTATGAAACTAAATTCAAAGAGTTCTCTTTTAACATTTCACAAAGTGATCTAAAACTATTAGAAAAAAACATTGATTTTACTCCAAAGGTTACTCCAAATTTCAACCAATACCGAACAACTTTAGGACAGATCAACAACCAAATAGATCAAATTCAAATCGAACACCGAATCAAAAACCTAAAAGAAATAGCATACTCTGTATTACAAATTATGGGATACATATCTATAGCCGTAATCACAATTTATACACTATACAAATGTAAACTACTTTCTCGATGTATACCATCCACATTTATTTTTAATATCTGTTGTCCCACTGCGACTGCAAATCAAGAACAACAAAATACTACACTCCCACCAACAACATCAGCGCCAATCTACGACGAACGTACCAGCTCATCAACCAAAGATTTGCTACCTGCAATAGAAGAAAACATCGTTCATATTCAACCAGCCCGGAAAATTGTACGTTTTGTGAGACCAAAACAAGTCTAAGGAGGGGGGAATGTTACGACGAGCCGCCTAAACGTACGTTAATCGAATTCTTCCCACGATCGGACAAACATCGTGTTACGGCCACCCGCCTAAACGATCGATATTCGAACAATTGAACACCTAAACATCATATTGGACACCTAAACATCATATTGCGACCACCTACTTAAGTATTCGATAAGACGCGTTCTCACGGACATCCCACCTTGTCAATCATCGGCCCCTTCTCCACCACCAACGACATTATAAAAGACCTTACCGGACATAAGCAGAGTCAGTCGGGATAATATTATAAAAATAAAGTGCTAAACTTTTAAAAGTGCTATTCATTCAAAAACCTGTGAACTTTCTACGTGACACTGGGGTGGCTGTCATGGGAATCGACGATATAGACGGCGCGGAGAAAGAAGAGGCATTTTTTATATTTATTGATTATATTTCAATCGATAAATATTGTATATTATAGATCAATTTACATGTCTTTATTTTTCATTCCTTTCCTGAAATTATTAATGCCATATAGTTTTTATTTCTATAAGTCTTATAGTCGCGTACGTTATGTGTATTACAGAGTCTCATCGAATCTGTCGTAGCGTGTGACTATATTTACGCCGATCGGCCCTACGTTGTTTCATTCATGATACTCCTTCTCTCTCTCTCGCGCTGTCCTTTTCTATGTCCGCCAGGAATCAAAATCTCGCTCGGCTCGAGCAAATTCATTTTGCTAGATGGTCACAGATGCGGCAACACCGCGATAGAACTCTCAAATGATGTGATTTGGCAACTATGCCACCTCACTTTCGTTTCTTATTCTGCATAATGACGTTAGATGTCACACCGTCAAATGTCGAATTTCTCAATTATGTGTTTTCACGATTGCCCGATTCTTTCCAATGGCGCTTACATCGATTCGGAGGAGGCCTCGAAGGAGCCTGTGCCCTTAAACGTTGCATATATCCAGCCGAGGTGTCGATTCTGGGCATTTAATGTTTCATATATCCAGCCGAGGTGTCAATTCTGGGCATTTAAACGTTGCATATATCCAGTCTTGGTACCGATTCTGTGTCCGTACAAATCGTTTGTACCGTGCCGCGTTACCTATTCTACGTTCGTACAAATCGTTTGTACCGGGCCGCGATACCTATTCTACGTTCGTACACAACATGCAACGTGTTGCATGTTGCATG